AAGGGGGTCATGTTAACATTGCCAACACCACAAATGGAGGATGTGGAACCATTTGCAAGGGTAATAGATTGTGATGTTGAGCAATGAGAGAGGGAAAAAAACACACCTGGAGTTCCAATCATGTGATCGAAGGCTCCAGAGTCAATAATCCAAGGATTGGGTGTGGATGCCAAACAAGTCATACCTGAGTTTGTGAAAGTAGTTGTGTTCTGCTGAGATGTGGACCGGACAAACCTCTCATACTCATCACGTGGAACACTCACCATCTCCTTCCTGGGAACATCTGTAGATGTAGGAGGCATCTGATCAGCTGAACGACTCTCGTGTCTGAAACTGGTATCACTAGTCATGGCATGATTGGCCCAAGTTGAGGGTGGACCATGCAAGTTATAGCAATAATTAAAGGTATATCCGTCCATACCACAATGAGTACATCTCCTCGGACCCGAGCCACGGGCTCCCCCTGGATCTCTACCTCCAATACGACCACCACCACGGTTATATGTAGGTCCATCACCACCACTCTGACCATATACCGGGCCATTGCTACCACTACGGCCAGACTGAGCTCCCCGAGCTCCACCTCTAACACCACGGCCCCTTTATACTACAAAGGCTGATCTATTAGAAACATTAGAGTTCTCAGTACATCCATATGGAAGTCCTCCGAAGTCGAGCACATAAAGTTGTTCTCTGTTGTTGCTGAATTTTGACATCAGAAGTGAGGGGGTGATAAACATTCAACTCATTACGAATGTTTCTCATACTAGCATAGTACTCCTCTAGACTCTAATTGCCCTGTTGCAGATTAAAGTATTCCTGATACAGCTAATATACATTGGTTGTAGTGTTTTGACTAGAATACAACTTCTTAGCATGGTCCCACACATCTTTGGTAGTGTCAAGAAACAAGAAATTTACACTAATCTTGGGTTCCATACTGTTCCATAACCACGTGATAATCTGTGCATCCTCTTGTTCCTAGTCATCATACTCATGAGAATTAGTGGAGGGTTTCTCCTCCCTTGTGTGTTTCACCTTCTTCTTTGCCTTCAGAAAAACTTCTACAGATTTAGCCCAAGGTACATAATTCTCTCCATTCAGTTTAATGGAGGTCATTTGAACATTCAAGTAGTCAGTAGGTATCATCACATTAGATATGCTATCACTGCTATCTCCCATTGCTGAATTCTGTTATTACTGAATTCGGCACACTGCACACTACTTGACCACACTGGTTTCAACACTTGTTATTGCTGAAAATTGCACTCCTTACACCACAAACCCTACCCCACGACTACCTGAAATCTCACCACACTATATGAGGACCACTCCCCCTTCGAATCACACAAAACATAAACAGCATAAACCCTAGCACACTACAGTTTGAAATCCCACCATACGATCTAAAACATACTTCCTATTTGATTCATAACAAAAATATGCATAGAAATCTCTTACCTCATCACCCGAAAAACAAACCACACAAAAAGAAATCAGACCACACAAGACACCCACTGCACCACACGAATCAGCCCTCTTCTCTTCATTGAT